ACCAGCAACATTTGAGGAAAGTAGACAGCCACTGGAGAAGAGTGCTGGCATGGCTAAATAATAGAACAAAAGAGAGGGAACAGGGTAGTAGTAAATGGTCAGTTCTCACAATAGAGGGAGATAATCAATGGAGTTCTCCTGGGACCCGTTCTATTCAATGTGTTTACAAGAGATGAGCACTGAGATGGCAAAGTTTGCTGATGTTAAGAAGTTACACAATATAATAAGGAAAAGAGCAGACTACAGAATTGAAGAAGGATGAAACAGTAATTGGACAATAAAACGACAGATGAAATTCAGTGTATATAAATGCAAAGTGCACAACAGGAAAAATAATTCTGGCTTCATAAAGAAAAGGAAGGTCTCTGAACTGACCATCACTGGAAAGCTCTTGATGTTGTGACAGACAGTGTCATGAAAATATCAGCTCAGCGCTCAACTGCAGTCAAAAAAGAAAATCACTGTTAGGCATTTTCAGAAGGGGAACAGAAAGCATAATTATTCCATATATCTATCATTTACACACATTTTGAATGCACTACTGCTCACCCTCATGTGAAAAGGAGTGGATTGAAACTGTAAAAGATAGAGAGAAGGGCAAGTATGATCAGAGATACGGAACGGTTTCCACCTGAGTTGAGTTTTCTGTGATAGAGAGCTACAAATTCCCAATTGACATGAACAGACAGACCATTTGTTGTTTCTTCCCACATGGACGTAAAGTCATCAAATGAAGACAGCAGGAACCGGGAGCTTTTTCTTTCTAACCAAAGAGCAAGAAATGTTCCTTTTGGCATCTTCCTCCTTGCCAATAGATGCTGTGCACACAAGGGTGTTACATGGGGAGACTGGAAATGTAGTTGGACGAAAGGGATTCCTTTAGGGTTGCTAAGCTGACAAACACAACAAGTTCAATAAGTATGCTTTCAAAAAGTTTTCATTTAGCAACACTTGGGTCAATTTGATGACTGAAAGCACAGTAGGAGTCTTTATAAAAGCTGTCCTGCGCTGATGGAACCTGTTACATGGCCAGTTGAAAACAGAAAGGTTGGAAAGCCAGCATATCTGAAGAACATTGCAGTAAGGTAAAATATTCACATGTTGGCAGTTACAGAGAAAGAGGTAATTAATACAAGGATGGAATCAGGGCTATATAGTTCAGTGTTCTGTCATTGAGACCTCATCCTACTATTATACTGAACACTAATTAGCCTTTAGAAAGGCCTTTTTTCTGTTTAGGTTTAATTCCAGAAGTTTGCAAATTCATTGCAACACTAAAATCTTGGATAACAGATTATAACTTATCTGTTAACCTTTAGGGAGAAGGAGTTGTCACTTTTGGTCACCCGCCCATATATGTCGATTATAGAATGAACAAAGTATATGATTCATTATTACTAATCAAATCAAAGGGTGCATCACACCATAAACATTTCTCTGACTGACTTGTTGTTTGTACTTGTTTACACTCTTAGGTGGAATGTAATCTCTCTGAGGCAGCTCTTAGCAAAACAATAGACTTGTCCACACCTAAAACTCACAGGTCCCATATCAGCAATAAGTATACAAATTTTGTTCTTAACAGATTCGGTCTTCCCAGACAAGGGAACCTGATGGAAGAACAAATTTGCTGGCAGATAAGACAAACAGTCTGTTAACCTTTAGAATCTACTGCAAGCCTTCCTCTTTGATAAAGCTTTTCCATCATGACATTATTAATAATAACAATTTTTCAAAAATCTACAAACCAAACCCCTGCTTTGGGAAGATTTCCACATTAAAATAAAGAGAAGAAAAAGACCTGAGATTCTATGATTGTTATTGCACATTTAGTCATTGGTAGACATGTTCAAAACAATGATATGATGCATGTCAAACTAGTAACAGTTGATGGTACAAAGACAGTTACCAGCATAACTCTTATGCTAAGTTATGGGGTAAACTTAAAGTGATTCACGGACAATTTTTGAACTGTGAAAAAAATAATCAAATTCATACACGGTATTAATAATTCACCTAAGTATGGCAAGTCATTACTAGTAACTTGGTGGCATTACTGTACCTATTTCCAGTAAGCATAAGGAAGAAATTCTGAACATACTCATGGAAGCTAAAAATAGACATAGAACCGTAGATCCACTGCTGAAGTAAACTGTTTACTAAATATCTATTATTACATTATAACACATAATATGACAAACTGCCAGTTTGGCTTACATTACTGTACTTTTAAACAATAATCAAGAGTTGGCAGAGAGATAAGTGCTCATTTACTGCATTTTGTATAAATCTAAATAAATAAATGTATGGCAGGCTGTCCTAATCTAACTTCTCTTGGCTGATACTGGATTGCTCCTTTTTGTACCATACATTTTTTGGCATATTTTCCAAGTCTAGACTTAAATGTCTGGAACAATCACAAACTGACTCTCATACTGATATTTTCTACTCCACGCGCAAGCTAAAGGGTACAAGATCCCGAAGTGAGATGAGGGTGCAGTGAGAAGGGTCTATCCTGAATTACCTTTCATATGGAAAAAATCTTGTAACTTTGCACTGGACACTGTGCAAAGTTAGAAGACTGGATGCTGTTTAAATGATACGTAAGAGTGAGGAACATACCTTCTCTAACTTAAATTAATGTTACAGTAAGTCACTTAAATACATCACCATATTAATTTGCCTGCAAGCTCTGATCAATATAAAAGAAGTAATCTAATTTCACTTTGCATGCCAGTGCTGCATTCTTCCTGACAAAGCACTATGCTTCCTTGTGGTTTTGGTTTTTTTTTCAATCCCATTGTCATTATATAGCTAAGATTTTCAGTTGTAGGAAAAGTGAATCAGGGTTATGGTAGTATTTCAGATTTTACATCAGCCTTTTAGTTTCTTCAAGGCCTTGAGAAATGATCAAATAACTTTGTTACTGCCTTCATCACGTCATTACTGAATCTGAAGGACTGATCCATCAATTAGCACTTCTCAAATAACTAACCAAAGCATAACCTTAATTTTTACGGGAGAAATCAATTATTGATGTGTATAATATAGAGAAATGCAAGATTATAATTGTTTTTTGAATTAGAGAGTCATTTGAATGCCTATTTTATAAAGCTTTACACTGTTGCAACAAATCCACAAAAGCTTTAAGAATGTAGAACTAAAAATCGAAGTATGTGTTTATTATGAGCCTTATGTTTTGATATAGTACTTCACTTTTTGTAATTTAATTATTTTATTTATGCAAATAAGGCCCCAAATGCTATTGCACTCAAGAAGTTAAACACTTGACATTTTTACTCCTTAAAAAGCAACATTTTATGATGTCTAGATATGTTTATTAATTAGTGATTATTAACACCCAGTAAACAACATCATGTCTTGTAAAAACACAATCTTTCTTCACAGCGTGAGGCTGAAATCTATTATTCACTGATTCCATATGCTGAAATACACTCAAATGATCACAAATGACCTTAAGCATTAGATAAATGTAAATGAGGACAGGGTAGAAAATGTGCTTTTGATTGATATCTAAAAGACCAGGTTTGAAGTCCTGACAAAGGATGAAATCTGAAATCTCATACAAAGTAGACGGCAATTGGAAATCTACAAAATCAAAGCTCCTGGATGGACGTACCACACAGCCTCACCTCAGCAGGGATGAGAGTCTGAGGCTGCTCACAAGAAGCGTTCAGCACATGGAACCTGAAAGACCACTCCTGGGGCCCACGTGGCCTTTGTCTACTTGGCAGGCACTTATTAGGATGCAGAGATATATCTCTAAGTTATATGCACGTACACCCTAATGAAGGCAGAATTTTTCTAACCCTAAGTGCTCACTTAAAAGAACTTCTCTACACAGAATGGCTACATAAGCATAGGGATAAATGATGTGAATGATAGCCATTAAAATTGTATGGGTTTAACCCTCTATGTTAATAAGCTTATTCTGCTGTAACAGCGTGCCTTTCTCAGCCCTTTTTCAGCTTTACTTTTGTCACTTTGAGAAGGACTGAGAGCCCTTCTGGAATGAGAATCATCAAAAAAAGAAGATTTAGAGCCACAAATAAGAGTGCACAGCCATATCTAAGGATGTTCTAATTCTTAACCCTATACCATGAATGGGAAGTACTTTACAATTTACTTTTAAAATACTACAAGAGATAAACGCTCTTCAAATTTTCAGCTGCTTTCAGTCCCTACCGTACCTGGAGATGCCTCTATGAAATAGACAGCATAACAGCTAACCTCAGCCGTGCCACCTATTACAGGATGGCTCAGGAAGGGCCCTGAAGATGATCTAAACCGAATTCTCTGAACCTCTACAATGCTCACCCTCCAGAGCATGCCTTCAGGGCTAACTCGGAGACAACAGAGCCGATGCACTATGAGAAAAATGCTGGGTGTTTCCTGTGCCTTAGGACATAGTCAATGAGAGAAGGGTCCCAGCACGCTGTGCCTGGCTCCCGTGCTCCCCATCTGTCCTTGCAGTGACAACATGACACTGATTGCATGGACAGAATGACCAAAACACCTCCCATGGATGCTCCGACAACATCTACCTCAGGCAATTAGGATCTGTTGCCACCCTGAATTCTCGGAGCTATTTAAAATTAAACCTGCCAGTCATTTAGGTACATTCATTCCAAGCCTCACATTCAGTACAATGGGTAAGGGTGACTCTGAAGCGGCCAAATTTCAACCATGCAATAAACCACAGCTTGAAGAGACAGTGTACATGAAACAAACTTAAAAGGAAAGAGAGGTTCTGTCACCAAGATTAATCATACCGTACGTGCTATGTTAAAAAGCAATTAATTTTTTTTTTAATATTTCCAAATTTCTGTCTTGCATCAGTTACCTACTTATATTGTATATACATCTGTGTCAGCATCAGTAATATAGGTCACACTTTCACACTTTTGCATACATTTCACATTTACATTAAATACACAATTACATGCAAGAATCAGTAAAACAGTTTAGTAGAATCTTACCAGCTTGACACTTTCTGAGCCTTAAATACTCCTGCATTTTGGTTTCTTGTGATGATCTCACTTACATCTGTAGTATATTTGTTAAGAATCATCCACAAAAGTGCAGTAATAAAAAGAATAAAAAGAATAAAAAAGATTTTTTCCATTGTTAATAACTTTATAATGTCTATTATCTGTTTGGTCTTCGTTGCCTGAGTCAGTCTTTCTTCAGAAGCATAAATTTTACATTGCTACTCCAGCACAGCAGCCATATAGCTATGCAGCAACTTGCTCTTGCAGCCTACCTCTACTTACTGTTTCATTTAAGGAATTGCTAGCCTGTAGCTATAGAGGGAACTGAAAGACTTCCCATACCTTGTATACTTTTAAAGGCAACTACTGTTTACAAATATAAGAATTACAACCATGGTGAAGAGAAATTTTTCAGCATGGTCACTTAATGTCCAGTTTAGTTTGTGCTGCTTTTGACTGTATCACTAAATCACAGTGTTGAGGTTTTGGATACTTATGGGTTTTGAGTACCTGCCCTGCCACAAGACATATACCTTTGTTCGTGGCTCTGTCTGGGTGAAATCCAACACACAACAGGAGCACCTTAACCTATCGGCAAGGGAGTTTCTAGCTCATTTGCTTTCTTGAGAATGGATTGAAACCACCATAAAAGGTAGTATAAAGCAATAAATGCCTTTTTCCCCCATAAGTACCGCAACAGCACCTCAAGCCTCATGTCTCAATGCCTTAGCCTCATGTCTCAGCTTCTTTCAGCTTGGAAGATCAGGACACAAATTTGGGCAGCCATTCAGGCAGGCCAAAGCAAGGGCTCTCAATGAAAAGTTTCCAGGGAAGCTGTGCCCAGTTATCTATGCCTAGGAAGATAACCTTTATAAATCAATCAGTTGTGGTTAATGAGAAGCCATTGGAAGGAAAAGGTATAGCAAGTACCCACAAACTATGAGAATACTAAATGTCACCCAGTGTGAATCTGTATGTATTTGAACGATTCACTCTCAAATAGAAAAAATTATCTTAATGATACGGACATTTTTGGTAAAGATGTCAATGATCCCTCTTTCTTATTTAAGGTACAGGAAATCTGATGGTAGTTAGGAGGACGTTTCTACGTGCACAAAATATGTTGAATTCTTTGCAAGTGCTCTTTTATGAAAAATGAACACTGGTGTCAGTCCAATTTAAAATATCACCGATGTATCTTTTTACCTGCTTTGCTGAAATCACATAATTTGCCTTCCCAACACAGTTGGCTATTTAAGAAAAGTTATTTTAGGAAAGCCTCTATCCAAACAATGTAAAAGAAAAGACGACTGAGATTTCGTGAAGCCAAAACCTAGAAATGGAATGACAGAAAACTGGTTTAAACAAATCTCTGTAGTTTGGACATGCCTTTTAAATCTTTTCCACAATATGCAACAAGAAGTAGTAATTAATGGTCCATACCTGTGAAGCAAAAGGAAGGCATGAATAATTCCATGAGCAAAGCATACTATTTTTAAGTAGAGGCAGAAGTAACGTTGTTGATTAGCTACGTTGCACTTAAATTACATAGCTGAGCAAAACTATTAGTAATTGTTGTAAACGTGTTAATGCTAGCTTTTTTAAATAATTTATGAGCCCAATGTCTTCAGGCATTCAGGCTGAACATGACCTTTCTAACCTAAATTTCCCAGGACTGTTGAAAGATCCATACACTATATTTTAATGGCCATTATAGAGCACTGCAACAATGTTTTGTATTATTGATGCTTTCAGACAGTAGTTCAAGTCACTAGTGCACAGTGTGCAACAGAGCTAAGGCAGAAGGTACACAGCCTCTCTGAAACAGGAGATGATTTCTACTAAAACTGAACCTCTTCCTTGGATTTGGGCATGTCGAACTGAGTATAGATGCTTCCAGTGTTCTGAGGAAACAGAATTTGGTGTTCACAACTGACTACGTCATAGATATCACCTAAGTTGTAAAATTTGTATCTGAATGCATATCATCCAAAATTACAAAGGGGGATTAATCTGATAACTTTGTGTATGTATATGTTTATTATTCACTTGAAATATCTGTATTTTTTTAATACTGTCTTTATTTAAATGATCCTGAAAGAACTTAGACAAAACACACTAAACCAACAACAAAGTTTTGAATAAAGCTGCAAAAGCAGTAACATCTGTCTTTACTTTATTGATTTTGCAATATAAATGATCTGTTAATCAATTAAAATCCGCCCATGATAAGCAAAAGGAGGGAGTTAGAGTGAAATCTTTTATATGGACTAGTAACTCAAATCACACTATTCTTTTAAAAACCTCCATAAACCTCATGCATAAGACCATTGATTAGTATAAAATATAGCTATATATTTCACAGTTAAATGGCTAAAATGACAACAATAATTTGAAATTAACATATTTGTAAATTAACTTGTTATATTTCAATAACATATCCTAATATAGGTATTGAAAACATACATAGTGAATACTTCATGTGGCAGTATGAAATGGAGAATAATATGAAGATTGTCAAAAATTAAAAGAAAAATCAAATCCTGAAAAGCTTCAGACTTCACAAAGCAAAGCTGTTAGTTACGCTCACTGAATAGAGATAACAACAACAAAAACAACAATAATTATGATGATGATGATAATACAAAGGCAGATTCTCAGATGCAATGCACTATTGCCAGGTCGATTTTCAATTACATTTCACTGATGTATTCATTTGTTTCTTAATGTGCTCATCTTGCCCATTAAGAATAATTAGCAGGCTTGCTTGGTGATTTCCTGGCTTCTGACAGTGATTTTTTTTCTTTTTTGTTGACAACCACTTTTACTTTTTGGAAAGTAATTTTTGGATATTATAGTATGACTGGCATGTAATTTAAGCTTCCTAAGAAATTTAAAGGGAAGATGTAAACAGTAATTTTTAAACAAGATTATTTTAATCTATAATATCTACATAAAAACCATAATACTAGGCATTGACTATTCCTGAAGAGCAGAATCTAGAAAAGAAAACAGTATTTTATCCCACATTAATTTAATTTTGTATGCTAAACAATTAAAAAATACCATCAGCAATAATAAAAATTAGCAGAAATACATCATTTGTACTCTGTGGCACTTGGGGCCAAATACTATTTCCAATTGCACTAAAAATTCTTAGTGATTTCAGTGAGTCTGGTATGGCTGAAACACATCTAAATTTAGCCTAAACTACTGTTCTAGCTAGTCACTATAGAAAAGAATGCAAAAGAAAATTACCATAAGACAGATCATAAAATTACTACTGAAGTCCATAAAACACATAAAATGCAACATAAATTTTATTATGTGCACTTTTAAGAACACATTCCACCTACACTGTAAAGTTCTTAGTCTGCTGCACTTTGGCACCCTGCTAATATTAAGCCCATTGTAAAATCCAACACAATAAAAGCACTTTGAATGCTGAGCCTTCAGAGCACCAAATGTTAAAAAAGAGAAAATAAATTCCTGTTAGAGCCTTCCACCAATCGCTTCTCTGAAAGGGATTCACTGAGTGAATACAGATGAAGACTTCTTGTAAGACTTTTGGAAAGCAAAGATATTTCCAAAACATATTGTGAAAAACTAAGGTGTGCTAATTAGATGACATTAACAGTATCTTTTCCAGGAATAAAAGCACTCGAATTTGTTTAATTCCAAAGACTGAGTGACTATTTTTAGCACTCGCCAATTTTCCTTGCTATAGAAGACTTCTAAATTTCAAAAAAGTTCACGTATGTTTATGGAATCTGCTGGGCAAGATATTTGCTGACTTGATGATTACTGAGCTCACCTGAAGCTTTCTGTGGGTAAAATGACCTTTTGTTAAATACCTGTGCTTCTATAAAACATCAGTTTGTTTTGTTAGGCTAGTTTTGAAACACTTTTTTCCTCCCACATTTTTTCTCTTCATAATGACATAGAAGAAAGATTTGAAGGGGCGATGCTGATTAAAATACACAGAATAATGAATACTTCCTCCTCAAGGCATGAGTATAACAAACTAGAATTTAACAAAATAGGAATCCTTGGAACACAACTGAGAACTTGCATTTTCAAGAAAAAGGACGTTTTTACAAGGCTTCCTTTAAGTTTTAAAAGATGTGACCTAGGACCGGCCGTTTATTCCATGAAATTGTTAAAGTGTTGTAAGCAATTCTAGTTACCTCAGTTACTTCTGAGAAAGTCTTTTTAAAGGTAGTAGCTAATATTATTGCACTGCAGCGTCTCCTGTTTCAACAGTCATCATCAACTGCAATCTTTTTTAAACCGCAAATTAGCTTAACTTATTTTTTCACCAATTACTCATTATGTTAGCTCTCAAATACATACAAAACTCAAATCTAAATAATTCTGATGATGCAGTGGCCAAAACCTGAAAAACTAGTCTGCCTTAAAATGCAAATGGAAGGACTACCAAGGAACAAAAGCAAATAGATATCTTCCTTTTTTCCCTCTCAATTTCTAAGGGCTATTAGTATTCACTGTATATATCTGTTCTTGTTCTGTGCTGATATTTAATGTGGCCACAAATTACGCTCACTCATTCTCTCGCTTAGCCAAAGTCCGGTTTAATTTTCTGAACTATGTGTTCATATTAGAAGGGCATAATAGCAATTTATTCTAATGTAAGAAATATAGTAAAATTCTTTCTACAAAAGACAGCGTCGCTTTGCAACCTTACATCAAGAGAAATAATGATAAATTGATAATTGATTAAGCACACTAAATGGGTAATTTGTAGGCAGTTATCACTTAGCCGCAACAATGAAACCACGCATTTCAATACACACTGGAAAAGCGATGACAATATACAAATACGGGGTACATTTTGAGAGGCTAGTATCTGAAAGTAAAAATAAAAATCTAGTTCTTCTACAAAATGAGTATGTGAAGGGAAGCTAATGATTTCATTCACTGCTGCACCTCCTGTAACGTGCAGCGTACACACAAGGAATCTTTCAGCACTCGACCATAAGACAAATCTTTACTACTGTACTTGCTCTATACCAACACGTACATTTTTAATTAAAGAAGAAAATGTGGCATTTATTGTGGGGGAAGCTGTAGCTCCGTTCAAGATATTCGACGTCTATTTTTTAATTACTTATGTGGGGACTTTTTCTTAATACACCCCATGCTGTCTGTCTTTATATCGATTGTTACTCAGCCAGTAAAAAGGAACGAGCACAACAAACCAGTTTTCTATCTGAATAAGGATACTTTTGATGGCCTTTTCATTTCCATCAGTTAACAGAACTTCTTTGACATCTGCAGAAATAGCAACCTGAAAAAAAGAGCACAGCAAACAATGAGCAAATATGCTTGTCTGTGTGGAAGTGAAGACAGGAGTGACAAGCCTTCAGTATCATGCTTCCTCACCTATTTCTCTGTAACAATCTTCAATCTTTTTTCATTTTATGTCTGCATTATTTTAATCATTCAATCAAATCAGTCAATACTTTTATCATTCCATTTGCGGGAGCCTCTATCTTGCTATCATTCTGTTCCGTAATTGCATTGTGACAGCGGATGATGGTATTCTGAGAGGCTTTCATTTGCGGGCTTCTGTTTATCTAGTAGAGCCATCATACAAGGCTGTCACTCTGCCTTTCAGCTTGCTTCTGTCTGACTGCCTGATGCCCTTCATATAACTTTGCATTGCAGGCAGATGGCTTTGTAAGGGTAATTTTTTTGTGAGCTTTGACATGCTCGCACATTGGGCTGTAACCTCGACACATTGTATAAGAGCGACAGGTTTGTCAAATGCCAATCAGTGTAACAATATGCTTTTATTTGTAGAGACATAAAAACTTGTCTAATGCACTGCACTGCTACATAATATCTCCTGAATACATGACTCAGAACCCAGAGAATGGTGAACGACTCTCCTGAATGGCCAATCTAATTCAAAAGAATCTAATTACCGAGAGCTCTGGATCATGTTTGTTGGTGTAATAATGCAGGCAAAACATTAGCAGCTATATCATGGTGCTCCAACTGTGATTCGCCAGGCTATTCCTGTATCTTAGCAAATGGGACTATAATCTGAAAAAAAAAAAAATGCTTCGGCTATGGCAATGAAAGACAGACCGTACGTGGCCTGGAATGTCACAACAAGAGATATTGACTACACGGAGGTAAAATGTTTCTGCTCATCGAGGCAACCATAAAATCAATATGATACGAAAGTAAGTCAATCTAGAAGGTCTCTCAAGACTCTGCAGCTTGACCGCAGCTGAGGCTGTTGACAGTTCTCTGACCCAGCAGTTGGAGGCACTGGAACATTTTTCCTTTTGTTTCTTCCTCTGAATGGGATTGGAATTGAGAAAAGACCTACCATGAGCCCAGCCAAGCATGTCATGCCACCCCCTAGCTCACACACAGCAAGGTCCCTGAAAGAGAGAAAGGAAATGGTAGAACCCATACAAATTAGATGAAAATGGTCAGAGAGACATATATGTTACAAGAACAAATTGCCATCTGCAGTAAGAACTGAGCTACCAGGAAGTTGTAGAGACATGACTAGGCTACCTCATGTCGTTTTGCGTTTTAAAAATAATTATGAAATAGAAAAGTCACAAAGCAGGCAAATCAGTGGGGGTTCCCTCATTAGTGTTCAGTGCAACATTACCACCGCTGAGCTGAAAAATCTGAGAAGGTTCCCTTTTTTCCCTTGTCAATGGCTCTGTCTTTTAGAACTAAACTAGCTAGAGTAGCGAAAGATAATTGTTAGGAAAGGATAACAATGTTAATCCACATTCATTCTTGCAAAAACAGTTAGAGAAGTAAATGGGGAAATTAATATTATTTATATATCTCTCCATATAGTTATGCCTAAAAGCCTTTTTATATTACAAGGAGAGAAGTTTTAAAACAAGCCATATACCACAAAACAATTACACATGAAGAAATCCGATCCTTCAATTAGCACTTAAAACTGCAAGTGACCTACAAACAATGCTGTTACGAACAACGATGGGAACAGCAAACAGTTAAGCCACAGAAAACCAAGCGGAGCTGGTGTCAAGAGCCTAAACTGAGCCCGAGCACAGGGTTGAATACATGGTCTAAAAGGCTGCTTTTAACTTAGACCGTACTGTGCCGTTATTAAGACGTGCATGCGAAATATAATTTGGCGCAGAGAGCGTGCTGGATGGGGGCTTGCAGGGGGAGCCATAAAGAATGTCCTCCAGAGCCACGGCCTGCGCCAGGAGGGGAGGAGGGAGGGATGCTGACCCCGCACCGAAACGGCGTGAAGCGGCGTCTAGGGCAAGGCAGAGCCTCGGTTTAGGAACATGCTGCTTTATAGCTAAATCTGCGGCAACTGTTACAGCTGGTAGAAACGTTCCCATTGAGACATTTTTGACAGGCATAAAATGGAATTTCAGCTAAACAGATTCTTTTTTTTCTTTTTTCGGTGCACCTCTTCTTTTCCCCTAAAATACCAACATTTGAACATCTATTTTTATGTGAAAGTATCACCTCCCTGCTTGCTCGACACCGATATTTAGGCGGAGCATGTAGGATGCCATATCAGTATCAGTATACAGATGCTGATGTTTTGTTCACTGAGGCCAGCAGACTAGGCTGTATGACTGTATACTAATGCTCACTGTCTGGATGGGATAGATTTATATTTCTTAGACTCCACAAATTTTATTTGAAACAAGTCTAGCTCTCCTGTTTAATGGAAATGAGACAAAAGACGGACATAGTTCAGAGGAACAAGCTGTACGTAAACCCAATGAGAACACAAGACACATGTGGGAAATTCGCAGTCTGTGGTTTAAATAGAGTGATTATAGGTTTTCCCCCACATAAGTTTCTATTTTTCTAAAACATATGTGTCACATATATTAAAAGTATATACACATGGTTATATATATAAGATTTACAAGACACTTAATCCTTTATAAGAGTCATGCTTATTGAAATAAACACAGAAAGTATCTAGTGTGGGGCTTTTAGTGCATTTTGAACTAAATGTATGTACATAATATATGAGCATATACATACACACATATACACATACAAATTTATGCATATAAATAATTTATTTCAGCGTAAAGTTCCCTCATTAGCAAATTTTAAAAATCACATCCATCTCTCAGGCAATATTTAGTGACATCTATCAATGAGAATTAAAAGAAGAAACTCTACTCTGAGCATACTGTTGAGGGGTAATCCTGAGAAATCGGGATGTGAAACTGCCCATTCGCTCCATGGAAGTTTGACTGATCGCCGTCTCCGAGTACCCAGGCTTATATACCCAAACTAGGAAAACACCCCTTTAGCGAGCAGCGTAGGGAGGTTTGCTGTGAGGAGCCTCTGAGAACAAGCAGAGCGTACGAGCCACGGCGTGGGGCTGGATGGCAAAGTGCTACAGGGACACCACTGCAGCAGCAAAAGTCACACATCGCAGCGCTCAGCTGAACTCGGAGGGAAGAGCAGCGTCTACCGGATTAGGTGTGTTACCTGCCTCCTCTAATGGGGTGGGCTTCGTTCAGGTGGTGGACAGAGTAGAAATGAGGCTTTATGAACCAGGGCATGGTTTGGTGCCAGGGCTTTGATTTCAGATAGGAGTCTGAGCAAGCTGCAGCAACCAGCTCATAGCTGATACGCTTTCAGCTTTGGTACAAGGGGCAGGGACTTACAGTTTGGTCTTCCCTATCTTACCAGCACCATATGTACACAGACTGAGGGATTTTGTATACTCCAAGCTGGTTTACTTAGTATTAGCCTTGCACCCTCACTCGGAACACAATTTATGCCTCCAAATGCATTGTTTTAATGGCTTTTCTTGCACCCCATTCATCCTCCGGACAATGAAACTTCAAGGATTTCCAAGTGCAAAGCTCTGTATACTCAAGGGGAAAGAGAGAGGATGCAGGATGGATTTTATTTTTAGGTGTTCCTATTGGAGCCTTGATAAGTGTCTTCTACAAGTTTAGAAAATGTGGAAAAAAAAAAAAACAAAACAAAAGAGCAGTATGTCTCAAAATTGTTTCAAAACACTTAAATACAGGTGCAATACCCTCCATCACTATACGCAGTAATTATTATGTATTTTATCAAGTAACATTTTGCTTGCTTTTGCAACAGATGCCAGTTTAAAGAATGTCTTTTATTTTTCCTGACCTTCACAATCAGTACTGATCGATTGGAGCTTCACTTTTGTTTCCCAAAAATCAAAGTGAAATAAAACGCCTTGAGTGGAAATCAAAAGTCTTTGACATATAGCAGAAAGCTTGCTGTGCAATATTAGTACCCAAAGGCAGCTCAGAATTCTTTGTTAAGAGCAACATGCTTTCACCTTGAACATTTTAAATTTAATGTGAAGACTTAAATCATAGCAATCTTTACGATGCAGATACAATAAAACTAACAGATTGGAAAATATCTTTTTATGTTTAACTCTGTACCTGAATATTTCATTGTGCTTTAGGCAGTAGTAAGCCAGCACTTCTTCAGATGGCCAGAGACCTGTAAAACAAATATATTTGCCTTCTTAGAACAGATATTTTTTTGGTATAAAATAATATTTGAATACGTATTACCATTTGCAGACCTCTACCAGAGTTTCATTTTCTACATTTGCCATAATACCATGGAATAAAGAAACAAGTAAGTCTTTTAATGGAAGACTTCTGATTTAACCATTGGAACAGAATGTTTCATAGATTTCATCCTGAGTAATGATCAGAAATTTACTTTATAGATACATACGCACACACACACAAACATACACAATTATCTATACATATACATACAACTGTCAAGACTTTAGAAGTTATAGAAAATTTAATTCTATGAAACTTCTAACATTTGGGCATTTTCATGAACATCAAACTGTTTGTACCAGGCCAGATGTGAGGCCCACCTTGACTGGTAGCCTAACAGTGGACAGCAGCCCCCTCCCTTTTCATTAGCTGTCCTCTGCAGTCATTTCATTTCTTCCCAGTTTCTTTTCACTGAGCTCCTTTTCCCTTAGGTTTTGTTAGGTCAGGTATCATTCTGACTGTAAGGTGGACAACCGGCAACTCATGCTAAGGACAAATACTGGACTAGGGCAACAATGCAGCGTGATTTCTACTTGTGGTTCAAGTTCCTGAGGCGAAGTGTAGATACAAGTGATAAGTTCTGTTTAATAGTCACCAAAGGATTTTCCCAGTCGTTCTGTGGACTGCAGTAAACTTTCCATAGTTGCAACGGCCCGTGGCAGGAAGTGCCACAGTTTTACCATGCTTTATAAAGAAACATCTCCTCTCTCTTGTTCTGTGCTTGCTTCTCATCATGTTCATTTGAGACCCTCTAGTTCTCCTATGGGAACAGACATGAGCAATCATGCTTTTTTCACCTCATGTGTATTATTCATGTCTTTATAAGCTTCCATCAGAAAACTTACACTGGTCATTGTCAACATGGGCAAGTACTTGGAGGCATCTATGCAAATTTATCCCTTCAACACCATTCGCTTATGAAACGCACTGTTTCATCAGACCAGTTTCCCACCTCACTTGAATATCTAACTGAAGTGCCGTGGCCCGTGGAGAGGGCAGCACAGATGCTGCGTGGCTTGCTGGCTCTCCTGCAGGCACCAGTCTCCTTTGCCAGAGGGAGCCTGGGAAAAAACAGACTCGTACTAAGGCACTTGAGTTAGGTTCCCAAAGCTAAGGGTGGATGAATCAAAGCCCTAAGTCGCGAAATTACAGTTGCGTGTGTTTTCCATCTGTTGTTGCTTAGCAATGAAAAAACATGCTGATGTGTCTATCCACAGGTAAAAACCAGGGTTAGCCCCCCTGCTCCCTCCCAACACACAACATTATGAATTACCATGACAGAAACTTAATATTACGAACTACAGGCACTTCAACAGTTTCAGTAAAATTAGGCACAGACATGTGGGAGCATCCTTCAGACACTTCTAGACAGGTAAACTGAATTCCATGCAGCTTACTATGTATATGCATCCTTTAGACCATTTTTTATAATTTTTTACTCTCGAGACTTTAAAATCATCACAACATATTTGATAGAAGCAGAAGTTTGGGAGAAAAACTGTTTTCTTTTTAAATCATTTAAAGCCTGATTGATCAAATGTATAATTCGTCCTTTCTATCCAGTCAGTATTCTGAACTACCCTTACTCATAGTGATATATAATGAAAATCTATGAATGTGTTATCTGCTTGCAGATCAAGCAAAAGTCTTGACAGGATTCAGCCAAAACTCTGCATATAACTTTTGTATGACAAAGATCTTAAAGGTAAAAAAAAAAAGAGAGCCGATGCATATGTATGCCAAAAACACTAAAGCAACATTGGTATTTCACCTGTTTATGACAGTTTAGGCTGATTAGGTGTTTGTGAATGTGCTATTTTGCTTATACTTGCTAAGGGTTAAAATAAAATATTCACACACGACTACCCATTCTTCAGTGAAACATACACTAAGAATTGTACAGGATTTTCCATCTCCCTTTTGAGCATTTCAATGCTTTTGAGCATTGAAATATGCTAAAATGACAGATTTTGCAATAAATATAATAACTGTTTAAATATTTTAGTGTATAATATAAAGAATGTTTCAGTTTGCAGTGACTGGTGTATACTCAAGCAATAATAGTGCTTTTTTAATATTTAGTGAAGACACGGCTAATTTAATCCATTTATAATACTTATATCTCACATTACAAGAAAAACCCCACACCTACAAACACAAAAACCCTGAACCCTTTTATAGCAAACTTTTAGCCTGAGCGAGTTTTAAAAATACTTGCCAATTGTAGCAAAATCCTTCAACATCTGAATTTTCAGTACCCTCAGTCAAATGTCTCTCACTTCTCTATGGTTACTATTGAAAGGGCACTCTGAATGGTGCTACTAAATCTTTTATGAGGGGTCACTGTTCTTTCCCCTACTACCATTACAATGTTGATACCGGCTGAAACTGCAGGTGTCTCAGATAGCTCTGTGCTGAGAGAAGGGTAAAGCACCTTGGGAAAGACAATGCTCTTCTTTAGGCAGATGCTAGCGATGCAGGCGACTCTCCTCACCGCTCCCTTCTCTCATAGGGAAGGAAGTATCACCTCAGCAATGATATAAGCGGCTGGCAGCTAAAGAAGCAGGAGGCAGGAGGTCTTTCACGAACACAGGTCTCAAGTGTGGAAGAAGACAGTGCTTCCAGCTAAGCCAAGAAGCCAGAATACCTCCGTTAATTTTAGTAAAAGGAAAAGCTTCTCGTGCTCGCACAGGTAGGTAAGCCTCTTTACCTTCAAAACACGGATAAGCTTAAAGATCCAGGTGGAGGAGTTTGCATTCTGTCTTCTTCCCCTTCACTCTGACCTACATTCACCAACACAATGACCTACATTTTGAAGTTGCAAGTATAAGATAGTTCTGCTTCTGTTAGAAAACATACAGCTGTAATGCAGAAATGCAGCAATTCCTGTGAGTTAACAACTACCACTAGGTTATGAAAAGCCTAATCTATTTCCTGCAAACACATACATATGGATATGGATTACGTTTCCTGTGAACACACCTAAAATAATTCTTTCATATTTAAAATAAAATTATTCTCATTTCGTATTATGAATTTGATTATAAATACATAACATTGGATGGGTACCTATTTGCATATGCAATTACTTACACACGATAGTCAATTATTTACACATGTATAGGCAAAAGAATATCAAAAGGCCCCCAAATGGTGCTTGCATTTAAAAGGCTATATACGACAAGTCCTAGACAGAGGGGCTAAAAATCTCACTGTACAAGGAAACAGAGAGACACAATGGTTTCCCTTTGCAAAAATAAGTATCTTGCGACATTTTCTGGAAGTTTTAAAACTCTTTATCACCTGAATAACTACAATGTGAAAATAGAGACTAGTTGCCAGAAAACATTGGAATCTCTATTGAACCAAACAAATAAATTAAGTTGTGTTGGTGTTTAAAGGAGAACCTCAAGAAGGACTGTGATTTGGCATGTCTGAAGCCACGGGAGAGAGACAGCGCTTGCAGGGCAGCGCCTGCCTGCATTTCAACCCTTGGCAGGTAACCTTTCACCATGAGGATGGAGTAGAAGATCCACTACAAATGTGCCATAAGAGCAATGATGTCTACTTCCAGACAACTTCACGATAACCCTACAGTAGTAGGGGTAGAAAAACATTATCACTAAAGAGTATGATGATGGATGGAAAAATGCTATATATGCAGAGACATACAAAATGCAGGCGTTTCTACAGCACTTATCCCCGTATCATAAAATCTCACCACACTAATGGAGTCTACCTCACAAGAACTTGATGACAGTGCTATTGTCCCAGTTTTGCACATTAGGAATCAAACTAGGAGACAGAGACAGATCAAGTTACTTAAACATACAGAATGAAATTATAGAAAGGCCAAGAAAAAAACCTGAGTCATCCTAACACCTTGAGGTATGATGTAACCAAAAAAGACACCCAAACTTTTCCTATAGAGGAACAACACTAACAAAAATCACAGTAATGCTAAGAACACATAAATTAAGTTGGTTTTATTGCTCTCATAATGCTTCCTAATGGAAAGTGTCAGGTCCTTCTGCTCTTGCCACAGTACAACAGTTCTTTAAAGCAACCTTCAACCCCCACGGACTAATCATGTGTAGACAGCCTTCTGAGGATGTTTTGTCTTAACCATCAGTTGGAGCACCACTACTCCAAAGCAACACAAAACCTGTGTTCAGTGTCGAATCTAAAATTGCTGAATCATGTATGGTATTACAGAAAATTTTCTACTAGAAATAAATTATCCAGTTTGTTTTTTTTTTTTTTAAATAAAAATTATTGTTTCTCCTCTGGGGCTTTTTACCACATATTTTAAAGAATGATGTCACACATTTGGATAACAAATATTGAGATCTGATGTGAAGTTCTTAAAGAACAGCATGTTATTAGAAAATTCGCAGGACAGATTGCTGAGAATTTTGACACGTGTCTTTTTAAAGAAGACATTTGAGTATTGGAGCCATTTTGTCTCCGCACTGCTTGATAGGTACAAAGAAGTCGCCATAGCTACTGATTACTTTAACTGGGATAGCAGAAGATTAGTGGGACTCCTCTCTACTGTCTGCCAAGGCTATACACAGGAAACAAAGAGGCAACTGGAAGTGACAGGTGAACTGTCCCTTGAAGCTCTGAGTAGGAGGTATAAAGCTGTCCTACAACTGCTTCACTCATGCTAGGAGATTAAGAAATTCCTTTCCAAGCTAAGCCAAATGGAAAGTTTTATCACTTTTCCCTAGCACTTCGCATGGCCACATGTGCAGATGTCTGATCTCAAAACTCAAATTTTGTCTTTTATTTGCACTATTAAACTACAAGATGTCTTCCCATTCATTTAAAGTTTCAAGTAAATTTTGCACAAATCCTAGCTTAACCCTCAAAAGCAAGGACAATTTAAATTTGAAGTGTCAGTCATTTTCCCCACATGAA